TCTAAGCTGCTTCGAAAATGCCGTTGGAGGATTACTGAATTTATTAAAGAGGGTTCGCCGTTATTGCCTAACCCGTGCCATCACCAGACTATGATCGGTCCATTTTATACCCCGCTCAGGAAAAGTTTGGATGCAGAACGCCTCATATTTTTGGCCTAGGCGTCTGGATTAATTCATTCTTGTGTGAATCGATCCCTTTGTACCAGAATAACAGCGGAATAGCGGAATCTCGGAAGAAATCGCTCCGCGTACACAGACCCTAAATCAAGGCTGTCGGATCATTATTGACAATTTGGTGATAAACTTTTCATAGAATGCACGCTAAGTGGATAACCACAGATTTATCACATGAAACCTAGATCAGAAAATGGGATTGGGGTGACCAAACCTCCATGAACCATGGTTAGATTTCGTATTGAGGGTAAAATCACATTAAAAAAAGGCAAAAATGGGTTCAAAACATGTCCCAGGGCACTTTCTCGAGGTGCTCCTTGTTTTTTTTGCTTGTATGCGTTTGTAGGAGGTGGAGTTAGCATCCATCCGGAAGATGCTCGTATGAGCGGCCGACACGGGGTACAGTAAGTGACACAATGCGTAGCATGTGCGGCGCTGACGCTGGTTGTTTGGCAATAAATTATCAATCTCTCTTTTTGTAGAACCGGGTACCCTAACCCTAAACCCAAAACCTTAACCCCTGAACCCTGAACCCTCAATCCTGTAAAGATATATCCCCACTGCCCAAATTACACCATAGGAGGTTCCAATAGGTCGGGGTGCTCTGCGGGGAGCCATTGGGGAGTGACACGCTGTCCGGTTCGCCGGGCTTGTGCGGGGAGCTCCTTCGTGGTTTTTCCTTATGGGTAGTGGCAGTTTCTTGGGCAGGAAAAATCTGGTGCAGACCCCAGACGTTTTCCTAACCTCGCCTCAATTCTTGCACCGTGCATTCTCACTTTCGAATAAAGTCAATAAGTGTCAATAAGTGTGGGTACAATAAGTGTCAAGTGGCAGTTTCTTGGGCAGGAAAAATCTGGTGCAGACCCCAGACGTTTTCCTAACCTCGCCTCAATTCTTGCACCGTGCATTCTCACTTTCGAATAAAGTCAATAAGTGTCAATAAGTGTGGTCACCTCAAAGATATTTAAATAATGACCCACAGGGGGCCCAAAAATACAACCGCCGCCCAAAACCCCACATCAGGTGAGGCCAACAGCCGACAATCATGAACCAAAGATAGAGAGGGTCGAACCTTAAAATTTTAAGGTTCTTTAAGCCACACATGCATACATGCAGGCGATTAAAAAGGTCCACAGGATCTTTTGGCATGCCCCATTAAGTGCCTCTCCAAAATGCCAAACCTGGGAGGTGGAGGCATGAGCCATTGGAAGGCAAAATGTGGTATAACCATCGCGGAATAACCACGGGGTAAATTCAACCACAGGTCGCCGGATGGAGGAGTCGACTCCCTAAAGGAGCCTCTAAAGGAGCCTTTAGGGAACCGACTTGAGTTGGATTGAATAACCGATCCGAGGATCGGTTAACCAATCCGACTCCTCCCTTTTCAAGAACCGCCCGGAATGATAGGTCTATATCGATGTGTCCGGAGCAGTAGTTCTGTTGATCATTGTGGACCTATCAGACCTCTCCCTCTTCTTCGTCGTTGACTTCATCTGCGCCAATCTTCGGGGAGCATCCCTCGGAGACAGACTGAG